CCCCATAGGAAGTAACCCACTACAGCCTATAACCACAATATTGTTTTGACACTTGGTACAATTCTAAATCTTGAACAGCTCTTGAACAATGATGTAATGCGCCCTAACAACTTGACTATCGAAACGCAACCAGATGGGGACATAGATTTTCCGTACATTCTCGCCTGCTATTTCCTTATACAATTCTACTTGATACTTCATGTAAAGGTTCGATTCCCAACGCTGCTCTGTAATCGGGACCTTTACATGAAGTAAGGAAATATTTGTTCGAAAACTCATACAAGTGCTTATGTTTTGTATAGAAAATATGACCACCTAAGTTAACTCATATTTCCTTGAGTTTTTTTTTTTTTTTTTTTTTTTTTTTTTTTTGCTATTTTTCAAACGAGTCAAAATCCTAGCCATAGCCCTACTTCAGAGCCGTCTAAGGCATTGCTGATGTCGCAAGTAAGAAACACCTTCCAAATAAGAGACGCCGATATGACCTTCCAGGCCTTTGAAATCCACTTCAGCGCCTCTTGGGGGGGAGGGGGGGGTGGGGCTTCCTGAGGTTCCTTCTAAGCAAAATGGAGTCAGGTTTGTGTCACGGTTGGGAGCAACACGAATAAGGCAATCGGGGATTTAGAATCTCACTATTTGCCGTGAAGTCGTTGACGCCCTCTCGCTCAAACCAGTCCTGGTACTGCTGTCGCACAGCTGCTTTGAAGGACTTGTTCACGGCAACGTCAAGCGGTTGCACCTCCGATGTGCAGCTGCTAAGGATCAAGCCCGGCACCGCACCCAGCGCCGCATAATTCTCTTTGACCTCCAGGGTAACATGCCCACAATAAGAGTCAAGGATGAGAAGCGCCGAGCGCGCACGAGGTTCAAACCATGGCTGGATGAAGGGTTTCATTGCTTCCTCCAGCCACATGATGATTCGAGTGGCATCCATCTAGCCGTTGGATTACGCCACCACCACCACATTTGCAAGACAGGCACACACATGTGGGTAAGTTGAAGCTACGGTTTGAGCAACCCAAGGGGGCGGGGGGGGGGGGGGGGGGGGGGGGGGGGGGGGGGGGTGTAGGAAAGGAGCTCACGGTGGGGGAAATCCCCCTTTGTGACCCTGGCTTGATTAAAAAACACCAAGGGCTTCAGCTCCTCTCCTTTCGTGGTGCATGCGAGCATCACTGTAACCGGCTCCTTCTGGTAGCCCACGCTCCGAATGGGGACGGACTGGGTGCCGATCTCATCGATGGTGTGGTCGGCCCGCTTTTCGAGAAGCGGGTGGGTTTGATCGGCGTTGATGATCTACTTCGCCTCGATACCATAGGCCCGACGAGTATGACGCACAAATTTTCAGAAGCTGAGCACCTGCTTCTCACTCTCTGTGTGGGGGAGTAACAAGGCCAAAGGAATTCATACAAATGTGCCACTAACAAGAATAGGAGAAGTAGCGAACACCAGTATATGCAATCAAAGACATGGAGAAAACATCTGCAGCGACCGAGTTCAAACGCGCACAACACGTTCGCTCTGAGAGCTTCTGGCCGTCTTTAGTCCTTGCGCGGACAGACAAATTCCACCTGCAGCGGAAGCGCTCAGCCTAATGGTAAGAGCCCTTCAGACTTTACATCTATGTGCAGCTCTTTCATGACGTCCCATGACCATGTCTGAAGGCGACCAACGTGCACCGCAATAACCTTGGTGCGCGCCTTAATGAATCGGGAGTAATGCTCTTACTCCATGTCCGGACACTACGACGCACGCACGTGCCTGCGCAACGTTTGCGACAAGAAGCGGCAACGTTGAGGTTGCCATACTTGCGCTTCCACTTCGTCAAGCATTTTTTGTGGATTCGTGACTAACACGCCACCTCGCTGACGTTCTCTATCGCCTCTAGCCGAAGGATCCACTTCAATTTCTCTCCCACGGTGTAAGCGTGCAGCTTGCGTGTAGTCGCACGATTCCCGAGAGAGGGGGGACTGGTATCTTGGTTCTTGGTAGAAGGATGGGGTCGTTTTTATCGGGAGGGGGCTAGGTGGGAATAAGTAGATGCTCGGGAAGTGTGTCATGGGACCAGAACTCCATGTCATCGTCTTCATTGACCGCAGATTGGCCCCACCAGCAGACGCCTGGCCGTCCCCAATCAGGACAATCTTTGTCGCGCACCCCATCTCGATCTTCCCGCCCACACCAGCACCCGCGGCATCACCGTCGACCGCAGCCTCCGCGTGTTCACCGTCGCCCACGACCTCCTCGTCCTCGCTGTCTCCCGCAAACGCTGCAAACTATGCGGCCGCCGCGTAACACTTCTCTCCCTCAGCAAGATCTGGCGTGGAAGGGGCGGGGAGGAGAATTGTCACTGGTGCTTCATTCATAAACTTAGCATGGGCTGGGGGCGCATGAGGTGCAACCGGAGCAGGTGAAGCACGCGGTCCAGGCGGCGCTGGCGGAACAAGAGGGCATGGGTTTATGGCGGCATTAGCTCGAAGCCACGGAGTAAGCCCACCACAGCCTGAGCTAGAGCGTCTACCCCGGCGACCGTCTGGTTTTTTTCCCGAAGAGGAAGGCGGTGCCTGGGATGCCCACCACGGCAGTAGCAGCGGAAGGTGGAGAATGACACTGACCAGATACCCTTGTCGTGAAGGCCGCTCGGGTTCCTCGGCAGGTTGGGGGAAGCTTCCATGCAGAGGAATCTGTTATGTGATGCTATCACTTGCATTTACGTCTGTCTGCCTCCCATCACATGTTCGTGCGTTGCATGCGTGGTGTGAGCGTGTGCAAGAATTTGTGTTTGATGTGGTTTGGTTTTTCTGAGTGTGTGTGAATATTATTTGGCTTGAGCAGATATCTGAAGTGACTCCTCTGCTCAAGAGCTTTCCGACGAACCAAGTATCGCTTCAATCGGAGCACGAACAAGAAAGTTACGAACGTTGGAAGTTCGTATGCTTTTGATATTTGGTTGTGGTGACTATGGGAAGTTTTGGGGTTGACTCCATAAGGGGTATAGAATTTTGGGGGTTGGGAAATTCGTCAACATCACTATAGATGCTGCCAAGTGGTTGGGAGGAGCCAAACCAGGTTGGCAAGTGTGGCCAGGTTGGGTTGGGAAAGTGACAAAAGTAAAAGTGGGAGGGGATTTGATGTGCTTATGGGGTTTCCCTGGTTGGGGACTCCTTGGGGACCTCCCCTCTCGTCCTCCTCTTCCCCTCCTACCTGGTTTCTAGCTACTTCAACTTTATTGTGTGGAAATTGTGAGACAATTGTGATTGCGTTAAGTTTCTATGGCAGCATACCCCCTAGTGCGCCGAAATTCATAACTCGAGTTATACTTCATAATTTGATACGATTCAAATTGGGATAGATAGCCATAGTCAAGGGCTACAACATAATCGAGTTTGAGAGAATTGTAACAGTGATTTTTGTGTCGACGGCGTTTCTTGTGACAACGACTTTTCTGTCCAGAATTGTAGTCAACGATTTGAGATATTTCGGCCCCTAATCTTCATAGACTCCGTCCTTGGTCTCTAACAGAATATGCCGTGGAATCTTCCTCTCGGGTTCCGCTGGCAGATTCCAGGCCAATCGAATGGTCCCTCTAGCTGCAGCTGTCCCTCTTGCACGCCGCTCCTGTGCCTAATTGGACCGCGAGGCAGCAACTCGGTGAATGGATGCACCTCCACTGCTACGGTGGCGGGTTTTCGCGTTTTGTTTATCATTCCTGAGACACCGTGATATTGGTACGGTTGCAACGCTTGTACTGTGGGCTGCGATTGGATGTCCCTAAAACATATTTCAATATAGGTCATGCAATTGGCGCATGCACCTGCAGAAAGTACTCGATTACAAGCGCACCCTGGATTTTTGCCTAACAAAATAAAAGCGCACATGCGCTTCTATTCGAAGGGACACGTCATTTCTATAGTTGTGAAGTGCAACACTACCAAATACAAGAAAGAAAATAATACTCACCCTGAGTTCAAATTTCCATGCATAACATGCGTCAAATTAAAAGAAATTAATTTCATATGGGTGTACATATGAATCTAATAGACAATCCTGCCACACAACACCTATTTTTCTAGGAGTAGAAAAGCAAGAGGAAGTAGCCAGAGCTGCTGTGCTCCTAAGCTACATCATCTTCGGCAGCACTTGCTACTACCACACCTTCTCCAGTGACCCCCTTTGAAGCTACACCCTCCACACTCAAACCATTTGCAGTCCACCTTCCACACTTACACAATTAGGATCCACACCCTCCACACTCACACCATTAGGAGCCACACCCTCCTCTCCTTCCTTCCTCGACTTCACCCCACGCTCCCCTTCCTGCCCTGTATCCCTAGAATGCACTGCCATCTTCCTGTTCCCGGCACACCCAAAGTCATCGGAGCGCGGTGGCATGTTCTCAAGGTGAACACATATGAAGCTGTCTGGGAAGCCATCTAGGGACTCGGACTCATCTCTGATTAGCTCTGCCAGATCACCTTCGCCTCCTGCGACCAGTGCCACTTCTAGCGCACCCCCAAGCAGCAAACACCCTATATCAGTAATTTCAGGAGCATCAGGGGCATCTCCCATCAGCGCTGCCATATTGATTGCTCCTGCCACAACCCGTGTCTCTTTCTGAGCATCCCCGAGAGGCAAAGGCTCATCTGGAGCTTCAGGGTCATCCCTAATCAGCGCTGCCATATTGCTTGCTCCTGCGACCCGTGTCTTTCTCAGAGAATCCCCAAGCAGCCGAGGCTCTCCATCTGCCATTCATGGAGCCTTAGAGGCATCTCCAGTCAATGCTGCCATATGTCCTGCTCCTCCCATCACCAATTCCTCCTTTTGCAGCAAATTGTCTCCGTGTGTGAATTCCCGAGCTATAGGGCCTGCTAGCTGGGTGCCAAGAGCCCTGCTTTTACAGCCAGCAGGAGAAGGGTAAGGTGGTTCCCCGTAAGCACATGCCCGTGCCGTTTTATTGGGATTCCCTGCAGCCGCACATGCACTCCTTCTTAAGTCCAGAGCCGTCATGCATCCAAATCCGTGAAGCATTCACCTGTATACTGATCCTCCTCCTCCTCCCTTCCATCCTCCTCTCCATCCTCCCTTCCATTATCCTCCTCCCCATTCCCCTCCGCACTCTCCTCCCCACTCCCCTCTGCATTCTCCTCCAAGGAGATCTCGGCTTTCTCTCTGTCCTCCTCAAGATCCTGCTTCTCCCACTCCTTCCCATCACTCCTTCTCTTTACAACTCTCTCCCTTTCATAATCCCTCCCTCCACCACTGCTCGCCGACTCCTCGGCAGCTAAAAATCCGTCTTTGCGCGGGGACCGCGGTGCTCCTGGGCTTCCTGATCAAAAGCACGGGCAGCAGCTTTGGGAGTGGAGAATGTTCCAAGCCACTTGCGCATACTATTAGCTGTGTCCTCTATTTCTGCTAACCAATGGCCTACCTGTCTCTGTTGCACTCTGTGGGATTTGGGGACAGGTGTAGATGGGGACTTGCGTTTTTGCTGCTTCCACTGCTGCTGCTGCTGGGGCTGCTGCTGCTGCTGCTGCTGGGTTTGCTGGTCTTGGGGATGCAATGGAGTCTGTTCCTCCGCTGCTGCTGCTGCTGCTGTTGCTCCTGCTGCACGACATCCAAACAACTTGCGCCATCGATTACGTCCGCTTGTTTCCTGTGGCCAATCATCCACTGCAAATGAACTTGATTCTAAGTAGCTACGGCAACTGGTGGCGCTAGTGTCATGTTTCTTGGCAGGGCGCTGGCAAGGTTTAGTAGTACCTCCATTTCTTGCCCGTGATTCTGTCTTCCTTGCACAACTTTAAGAATCTGCCTGTTATCAGCATGACGGCAGGAATTGAACCCACGAGCTGGAGCAGACTTTGGGTTGCTGACGTGACTTGAAGGCCCAACAGTCATATTGTAAGCAGCTGGAGATGGATCGGCGGTCAGCTGGCCGTCAAGTTGATGGCTTCCATCTGATTTTTGCTGCCGTTCCGCCAGAAGATTCGTGAGCGCGAGGAACGCCTATTGAAGAGCGACCTTCATTCTGGAACCGGAATCATATTTGTTGTAGAAGTGCTGCGGCACGCCGCCGTCAAGTTGATGGTTTCCTTAAGACTTTTGCCGCCTTTCCGCCAGAATGTGCGTGAGAAGATTCGTGAGCGCGAGGTACGCTTACTGAAAAGCGACGTTCACTCCTCTGGAATCAGATTTGTTGCAATAGTTCTGCACATCGCGGAAAAGGTTTTGAGCGACGTTCACACCCGCATTACCGATTTTTCCCACCGCAGCCGTGATATTCGGCTTGTGCAAAGGGGAATCATCCCCGGGATGTTCTCCGTAGGAAGACTCATCGTCGGACTCATTTGTCATCACCGCTGGGTGGGAAAAGTCCACAGTAGTGGATAGTAACATTCTAAAGTTCGCCGTACTCCGCTGCCGCCATGCGACAAATGACACTCAGGCGTCCAAGCTTTGAAAGATGGAGCGAAAAATGAGAACGGCAAAATGAGAAGCGAGAATGCTGATAATGTGAATGAACAGCCTGGAGGAAACCTGCCTGAAGACACACTTTCTCGACCTCCCATCACCTGATAGAAATAAGGTCTTCGGGCTACCGCCCTTATGAAGTGTTCCAAACTTTTGTTATCCCTGAATACCATTCCCAACCATTTCACATCATAGAAATACCGCGTTCATTACGTAAACAACCTTGTTTAACCGCTTTCAGACGAACTTTGATAACGCGGTCTTTGGTGCGTTGAAAGTGGGTGTACGAATATGCCAAAGAATGTGCTGGATGCGGGTCTGACGTTCATTCTCCAGAAAGAGTTGACGGCGTTAGGCCATTCTTTCATGCGACGATCAACAGAAGCATGGACCAAGTCCACGATAACAGTCATCTTTGAGCGGTGAGAAGAAAGATAAAGTGGAATTGAAAAGTGTAGTTCCGGAATATGATATGACAGGAATTGTAAGACTGCTCCCTTTGTTTGAGCTTTGAATATTTAGTGAAATGTGTCAAACTGTTATGTTGTGTGTTGTGTAGGCTGTAGTGGGGCAGCCCATATGGGGTACAGCCCAGTTATGGTTAGTACTTGTACCCACCTTCTTTCTAGTTCATCCATTCTCGCTTAGTATTCTGACATGGTATCAGAGCAGGTCCTGTTCCAGGACCGTTTTTTTTAGGGCCCACCGAATAGTTCCCTGCCTGTAGTGCGTTACCCTGTTCGTAGCGCCCTACCCTGCCCACCAGTCGCGCTGCCCTGCCATGCCCGCGCGCCGCCCTGCTGGCTGCCGCGCCGTCCTGCCCTGCCCGCGCACCACCCTGCTTGCTGCCGCGCCGCCCTGCCCTGCCCGTCGCGCCGCCCTGCTGGCCGCGCGCATGCCTGCCCCGACCGTCGCGTCGTCCTAGGACCCACGCGACGCCCTGCCCTGCCCATCGCGTCGCCCTAGGACCCACGCGACGCCCTGCCCTGCCTGTCGCATCGCCCTAGGATCCGTGCGACGCCCTGCCCTGCCCGTCGCGTCGCCCTAGGACCCGCGCGACGCCCTTCCCTGCCCGCCGCGTCGCCCTAGGACCCGCGTGACGCCCTGCCCTGCCCGTCGCGTCGCCCTAGGGCCCGCGCGCCGCCCCTGCCCTGCGCGTCGCGTCACCCTAGGGCCAGCGCGCCGCCCTGCTGCCCGCGCTCCGCCCTGCCCCTGCCCGTCGCGTCCGCCCTGGTAGCCCGCGCGCCGCCATCTGCAGCCCGCGCGCTGCCCTTGCCTGCCCGCGCGCCCTCCTCTGCCCGCGCGCCGCCCTGCTCTGGCCGCGCGCCGCCCTTCCTTGACCATGCGCCGCCCCGACCTACCCTAGTGCCTGCTCACCGCCCTGCCTTCCCTGCGTGCTGCCGTGCTGGTCGCACACCTCCTTGCTTTGCCCGCTATGACGTCTCTTCGTGGTAGCAGTGGGAGTGGTGGCGGCGGTGGTGGCAGCAGTGGGAGTGGTGGCGGCGGCCGTAGTGGCAGTCTCGGTGGAGCTGTTCGGTGGGGAGGTTCTGGTGGTGGCCAGATGCAGCTCCAGCGGCGTCCGCGCGAGACCCTCACGCCCCAGCAGCTTCATGAGTGGTATGCTAGTGGGAGTGGTGGCGGCGGCCATAGTAGCAGTCGTCGTGGAGATGTTCAGTGGGGAGTTTCTGGCGGTGGCCAGATGCAGCTGCAGCGGCGTCCGCGCGAGACCCTTACGCCCCAGCAGCTTCGTGAGTGGTACGCTCAGCGTGGGGCGTCTCGGAGTAATGCTCGCTGCCCGTACGTCATTCGCACAGGTGATCGGGCTGGTCTGACTTGCGGGACAGTTGGTCACACACAGTCCCGCTGCTTCTCCTGTCTGAGCGACGCCTGGCTTGCAGAGTTTGGCGACGCGGCTAAGCTCCCCCACTGGCTAGAGCTCCTTAGGCAGGGTGTGGATATCTTTGCTCTTGACTATGATGCTATCCTCACTGCCATGTATGCATTGACTGTTAGTGCTGAGGGTGACTGTTACCTGTGTGTGCCGCCCGACCCAGGTATAGAGGCTGCTGCTCTAGGTGCTAGTGAGTCTGCTCTCTCTGGTGCTGCGCCTTGCACACCTTCACGCTTGACTCAGGTGCTTCCCGCTGTTTCTTTCGCGACAGTACCACAGTCACACCACTCCCTGCACCTGCTGTTGTCAGACTGGCTGACCCCTCAAGGGGCCCAGTTCTTGCCCGTTCCTCCACTGTTCTCCCGTGTCCAGCGGTTCCGTTCGGCTCACTCTCAGGTCTTCACCTCCCCTTGTTCTCTACGAATTTGGTGAGTACCGCTGCCCTCCAGGATGCGATGGTCACTACCACCACTCATGGAGGTCAGCGTGTGTCGATCTGCACGTGTACACGGACGGGCCGTCACCTGGCCACGTTCACCCGTCGGCCTGGGTCGAGTCTGTACACACTGACTACTGAGCCTCCTCAGGTAGCTGCGTCTGCGATCTATATACATATACCTGCATGCTTGCACTTGCTAGGTTGTGATCACTGTACTGCTTGTTCTCCATTATATAACTCTGCATCTGAACTAGCCTTTTGGCCATTTGCTTGTGCTCAGAGTGTGTGGTGACTTCGTGATCCACCCTGAGCTTGCTTTGCTTTTCTTGAATGGTCTTGTGACCCTTTGTTCTCCCCCACTTTGCCTATGGGGGTGTGTCAAACTGTTATGTTGTGTGTTGTGTAGCTGTAGTGGGGCAGCCCATATGGGGTACAACCCAATTAGGGTTAGTACTTGTACCCACCTTCTTTCTAGTTCATCCATTCTCGCTTAGTCTTCTGACAAAATGGGGTCAAGATGAAGTGTCACCTTTGGTCGGGCTGCATTAAAACTATTTTCGAGCGAGTCGCACAATGCTAGCGTACAGCGCACACAGTGCTACACCCAAACGAAAATATTCGGAAGTCAATGCTTGCTGCATGCCGATTCGTAGAGCTTTACGCGTCGATCCAGTCCATGCAATGCATGGTCTTCAAGGTCAGCCATCATTGTTGACGGTAGTCAGCAATCTCCTCTCCCATTCCAGAATGAGATTTTTGAGGATATGAGTAAAATTAGCGTTGTTCCTTTCCTGATTAGCTGCTGATTAAGCTAAATTATATAATTTAGTAGGCCTCTCTTGGTGTGCACATTTTTTTTCGGGTCTAATTCCCGCTCTTTCTTTGATCCAAATGAACAGTGCAATGACTGCCGTCAACAAGGCACACGTATCTGTACAGTCAAGGTGTACATACATAGACATCGTCAACTCTCCTTCGATTGTCAATGATGCTACAGAACATCAAGCTGCACACCAAACAACACGTCTAACAGCGTATGAAGCTGTAGATGAGGGGATTACCTCATCTAGTTTGGTGTGCAGCTTGATGTTCTGTAGCTGGTAATTACCTCTGTATGAAGCTGGTGTTCCCAATGTTCGTTTGAGTAGCGTCATCCTTGGCCCAGTTCGGCAGCCAGGGAGAAGCAAAACGTTAGGAAGATGAGGAGAAGGTGAGGCGAGCGTCAAAACAGGGTCAACGAATTTTGACCCTGGTTTGACCGCTCCGCGGAAAACCTGCGCCGTGGGGGAGCTGGCGCAGGTTGGAGGGGGGAGATAGGAAAAATCGCCGCAGTTCCAGGCACATTTGCCTTCTATTTCTCCTGTCCCAGACCACTGTAGCAAGGCGAGAAAAGCTTGCCCAAATAAAAAAAGGGGAGGGCACCCCACCAGGGCTGCCGATTGCTCTGAGGCCAGAACTTGGAAGGATGAGCTGCCCCGAAATCTGCCCTTAAAGTTAGGTTTTGGGGCCAAACTCAACATTTGAAATCAGGGCTACAAAGTGTTAAGCACTTTTGCTAAGACAAGAGATCACCATGGATTTGTACTGCCCATCTGAATTGATTCTTCACGTGCCTGGCTAAATCACTGATAGAAACCTCTTAGCGGAAAGAATTGGCAACAACGCCTAACCGACTCAATATTGTAAGGGTGAGGTAATGGGACCTCTCCAGTACTTGTGTGTATGTACTGGCCGTCTGCTGCATTCCCACTATCATTTTGCGACCAAAGGCGGAATCATGAGGCTGTCCGCGGACAAAAAACAGAAGGGCTGAAATTCCATGCGGAAACCAT